AAAAAAGAAATATATATATATATATATATATATATATATATATATATATATATATATATATATATATATATATGTGTGTGTGTGTGTGTGTGTGTGTGTGTGTGTGTGTGTACTTTAAATTTAAATTGTTGTTTAATAATAATTCTGTTTTATTGTTGAATATTAATATATAACAGATTTACCTTTATTTTTCTCAGATTTTTACAATATTTTAGGTTTAGGTTTACTGTTATTAACTTTCTAGTGTAAGTGTATTTTTATTCATTTAAAAAAAATTTTGAACGGCTCCATTGTTGTAACTACATTTTTTATCTATTTTAGTTATTTAGGAAAGGACAAAATAGCATTTAGTATTAAATATATTAGTAATGTGAAAATTAAAAAATACATTTTTTTGAATTATAAATATATTTAAGTAAATAGTTCTAAATCTACATTTGCTCCTGGTATGGTATGATGTATTTCTATAATAATATTTTTACTATTAGGTCAAGAATCTGTTAGAGATATAGCTTGAAATGAAAAAAAAGCTTAAGATATAAAATTGTGACAAGAGTTTTTTGATTTAAGAAGGCCTATTTAATGTAAAATGGATCAAGCTGAAGCAACTACCTGGATAGATCCCACAAACATGCTATCCTTACACAGAAAGCCTGAGACATTTTCAGGGTTGGGGAGATAAAGGTGGGGTATTAAAAAGCTCAGTAGTATTGATCATACTGATCATTAACATGAAATATGCAAACATAAACTAGCATACCACAGATGGTCAAAACCAAGGAAAATATTTTGGATGCAAAGGAAATGTTGGACATCGTCCAACACCTTTATAAGAAAAGGGAGGCACACGGTTTAAAATAATATCCTTTTTTAAACGCATCTATATCTTTATTCTATTCTATCACTACTTTAGATTTTTGTTCCCTTTTCAGGTTAATGTCTGTGCTTTAGTGTGAAGGACTGTATGACTGGTTGTATGAATGGTTAATGCACTGTACTTCTATAGTGATTTTTTCCAGTCAGGGGATTCCACAGCACTTTATGCTACGTTAAGTCATTCATCCATTCGCACATAAATTCAAAGTGGCAAAATACACAGTAGCCACAGCTGCATACTGTAAGAAGTGAGGCCGTCGTACACCGGTGCCAACACATTTCTTACAACCATCAGTAGTACAGGAAGTACAAGGACACATAAAGCAGAGGAGGCTAAATAGTTATATTTACTAAAATACATTTACTTGAGTGACTAGTAAACTAGTAAATAAGTAACTAGTAAAATGTCCTTTTAGGAATGGTTTCACTACACCATACGTTCAGCTTTTGAGCTTTGATTTCTGGCTACTCTACATGCCATGAGTCACTTCACTGAAGAAGCAGGCTCATTCAAACCTATAATGCACAGAAACATACATTCTTAGACATTTTTTTATTTATTGAACTGTTTTGCTAGATCTGTAGAAGTTTTTCTTCTGCATAAGTTTATTTTCAAGTAAGTTTGCTTTTGTAATAATTATTTTACTTTTAACTTTAAAATACCAGTTAGTAAAACAATATATATTGGTCTGTTTGATTAGATACAGTGAGGAAAACAAGTATTTGAACCCCCTGCAATTTTGCAAGTTCTCCCACTTACAAAACTTCAAAACTAGAGTAAATTAGATTTAGTACAGGAAACATTTTAACTTTATAATTGCAAAGAAAGGCTACTGTACCAAATATTAAGTTTGATTTTCTAAGGTATTTAGATACTTATTTGTAGGTGCATCATAAAAAGAAATAGTAAAAAAAAATTGCTTTGCTCCTTGTTTTTTATAGTTTTTTATGGTTTAATTCTTATTTTATTGTGTTCTTTGTTTTTTTCTCAGTTACTGTCTTAGTCGTGGTTCTGTTATGTTTTCCTTTGAGTGTTTAGTTTTGCTTTACCCCTTGTTTTCTTGTTTTAGTGGTTTAATTTTTATTTTGTTGTGTTCTCTGGTTAATTCTTAGTTACTGTTTCAGTCTTGGCTCTGTTATGTTTTTCTTTTGAGTTTTCAGTTTTACTTTGCTCCATGTTTTATAGTCTTAATGGTTTAATTCTTATTTTGTTGTGTTTTCTGGTTATTTTCAGTTTTCTAGGTTTTTATTTGTTGCCCTCTGCTGCCCTCTTGTGTTCTCCTTTTTCCCTAGCTCCTTTTTTGTTCTGCTCTATGCACACCTGTTCCCAATCTGCACATTAGTCCTCCCTTTGTTTCTGTCTCCCTTAAATACTGTCTCTGTTCTGTTCTTCTGTGCTGGTTCCTCGTCTAACTTCTCATCATACTTCCTCCAACTCTGTCTCTCTGAGTCTTCCTCCTTGTCATTGTTATCCCCCTGATGTCTCCATGGTTTCTGGTTTGTTTTGACTTTTTTTTTATTGTTTTCATTTTTGTTTTTTTGATTCCTTGTTTCCTGTTTGTTTGGACTTTGTTTTTCATATTTGGATTTTGGATCACCTGCTTCTGCATTCAGTAAACTTTCTTCAGTCCCTAAGATATAAGCAAAGCCTTATCTCCCATGTCTGACCTTACAGATGAGATAAAAATTTGATAAGGGACCCAAACAAGGGAGGACAGTTGGTCACCCAGAAGGTTAATCATGCTGTACTCTACATAAACCATATTCTCAAAGGTTAACAGATGATGCTTTGTGAGGAACAAAAGTTTCCAAAAGTGTTGCAAAGGAATTATCAGAACATGTGATAAACATTTAGATCAACCAAAGTGAAAAATATTTGCCACATATCTAACATGCACACAAGGACTCTAACAAGTTTCAATTTCTCTTTAGACAGTTCAAGTGGTGGTTTAAAAAAAGGATTTGTGTATCTATAAGATTTTCATTTACTTCTTGGATTGTTCCACAGGTTACTACCCTCTGTGACCAGAAAAACAGCAATTATATCTCAGTCAAAATGCTACAGTGTGAGTAAAGAAGGATGGGAGTCACACAAGAAAATGATGACAGGGCCTCTGGATATCAGCGACTTAGAGGTCTGTTTTTAAAGGATTTTGACTGAACTGTCTTTACTTTTGTAATTGAGATATATGTTGCTGCTAATAATTTGAAATATTGTGAAAATAATATATAAGATTGACAGTGATTTTGTTTCAGGTGTTCTCTATCATAAAAAAGCTGAAACACAACCAGATGCATAGTCTGGAGTTAATAGCAGCTGAGAACTTTACCAGCAGAGCTGTTCTCGAGGCTCTTGGCTCCTGTCTGACCAACAAGTACTCCAAAGGGTTTCCTGGCCAGAGGTATAACTCCTGTTCAGGTTATTGGAGGCTTGATTGTACCTTTTGATAAATGCCATTTTATCAAGCATATTGTTTAATGCATTTCATCTCTTTAGCCACTATTTCAATGGTTTAGAGTATAATGATGAACTGGAGAATCTTTGTCAGAGGAGGGCACTGGAGGCCTTTGGTTTGGACTCTGAGAAATGGGGAGTGAACGTGCGGCCATACTCAGGTATGAAACCCCAATAAACATGCCTCTGACAACTTTGTTATACTTGTATTAAATTCAACCATGTTTCCACCTAAGGTTCGCCTGCTAACTTTGCTGTCTACACGGCTGTTGTTGGGCCTCATGGTAGGATCATGGGCTTGGACATTCCTGATGGGGGTCACCTATCCCATGGCTACATGAGGAATGAGAAGAAAATCTCTGCAACATCCATGTTTTTTGAAACTATGCCATACAAGGTTTGAGTCACATTACATTTTTATATATGGTAAATCAGATACTCAGGGAGAACTACTACATGTATCTGACGTACAGTGCTGTACCTGTGTGGGTCCACACAGTACTTGGCTGGTATACAAGCTGGAGCAGAGATAGCTAACTTATAAACAGGCTTTATTACTCATAGTACTTCTTCTTCATATTCTAAATTTTTTTTCTGTAACCAACAGTCCCAAAAGGCACCTAATTATTAATGGTTTAAATTGTGTTGGTAATAAATTAATGGTCTTGCAAGAGGGATTGTCTTTTTCTTCAAACAATGTTAGTATCAGTGGTGTAGTGATATGTAACTCAGGGACAAATCAGACAAAAGATGTGGTGTCTAAGAGACCTAACCGAATTACACCAAACCAGGAATTTGATTGAAGGTGGGTAAACCAGGACAAAAAGTAAAAACCCTGCCCTGTTGTCCTCAATTCTGTTCCCATAATTAGATGATTAGCTCTGATTCTAACTATGTCTAAACAACCACCCTAAACCCACACTTCCATCTCCTCCTGCTTATTCCTTCAGAGTCATGGTGGGGCCGGGGCTCCGGCAGTCTATGGGCGAGAGGCGGGGTACACCCTGGACAGGTTGCCAGTGATTCCAGGTTTTAGCATCTAAACCCCTCAATCCCTATATAGAGCGAGGAGCATATAGTCGACTTTATAGTGACCTTAGTTAACTGACAGATGATCACTAATCCTCGCTCCCTCATGGTCATGTGACTCTGGCTCCCCGCTCGGTGCCTGTGTCATCTTTGTTCTTTCTCACCCTCAAAACTTACCCCTGATGCTTTGTGAGGAGCGCTTTTGCAAAGTATTCTGGGATATATCTGCTCATCTAGTCACCAGTGCACATTGCTTTTCAAGATGCATTGTGGGAAATTTTGGGTCCACTAGACATTCGGACACTCATATAAAAGGCTGTAACCACTATATAGTGCTCTTTATAAGAGATTAGTGTGGACGTTCGGCTGGCCTCTGTGTTTTTAGAGCTGGAAATGCAAACGGTTGGAACTAATCTGTTAAAAGGGTTTTTACCTTCTGGACCTGGATTGCCCACCTCTAAATTTAAGTGTCCTCTTTTGAGCTCAATTTACTTGTATAAAAGGTGAGGGGGGGGAAATCTATTAAGAGAAACTACACTTCTGACAAATATTTCCATTTTCTCTCAAATCTTACAGCTGAATACTTTATATTAGTAACCTGTGTAGTTGTTGTGTTACAGATTGTTGCAGTGAGTTCAATAAAGTTCATTTAGTACATTTAGTTTGCATATTAGTCATTAAGGCTTAATACTGAGTAATAATGTTGAAAGCAAAATTAGTTTTTTATTTCACTTTAGTTTTCTACACATTTATATTTAACTTCACTTTAAAAGGTCAACTTTATAGTATATGGAACATGCAAAATGTTTAAACCTTCAATCAGACAGTGTTTACAGTGAGGAACTCCTTCATTCGGCTCAGACAGAGAAAAAATTACGACGGCCGCTTACTTTTAAGATAAACTTTGAAGCACAAGGCTTTAGGAAGACAAATTCCTGACTTCCTAAATAACTTGAAGTGGGTGCTAGCAGATGATGTGGAATACAAATGTTTTTTTAGACAAGCCCCCCCACCCCATACATATTTATTGGTTGGGGAGAGTAATCAGGTGTGTATGTAGCATGATTTTCTGTGATTGAATATTATCTAAGAAACGCCAATGATACATTTAAAATTGCAGTTTGCTTCATTTGTTTCTAGGTAAATCCAAAAACTGGCTACATCGATTATGACAAACTGCAAGAAAATGCACAGCTTTTCCAGCCTAAGCTCATCATTGCCGGTACTTCATTGCATGCATACACACATGCAGAGTGCACACGCTCAGTCATGGTAGTACACTCAAAATAAACACTTTTCATTTTGCTCTTCCTTATAAGGAACCAGCGGTTATTCCCGTAACCTTGACTATGCCCGCTTGGGGCAGATTGCTAATGAGAATAATGCATATCTGTTGGGGGACATGGCACATATTAGTGGATTAGTGGCCGCCGGAGTGGTGCCCTCACCTTTTGAACACTGTGACCTTGTTACAACAACAACTCACAAAAGTCTGAGAGGCTGCCGTGGTGGACTTATCTTTTATCGGAAAGGTAGGAAAGAGTCTCAAAACATTGACTAAACCAATATTTGAGGTACTTTTTCATTGCCATGGGAACTTTTTGCTTATTTCAGATCTTTAATGGACTTTTCATTTTCTCCACAAGGTGTTCGGTGTGTGGATTCCGAAGGGAAGGAGACTTTGTACAACTTGGAGTTTTTGATCAACCATGCTGTGTTTCCGGCGCTGAACGGAGGACCACACAGCAATGCTATTGCAGGTACTCTGATATTCATCTTAAGATCTTTAGGTTTCTTCCAGAATCAGTCACTGAGGTAATGTTTATTACTGACAGGTGTTGCTGTGGCTCTCAAACAAGCCATGACACCCGAGTTTAAGGCATACCAGCTGCAGGTTCTTGCTAACTGTAAAGCTCTGTGCAGTGCCCTTACAGAGCTTGGTTACAAGATCGTCACTGGTAGGTGTCACACACATATCTTTAGCTCATTATACATCTCCAAAATGAAAGAGTTTTTACAGCCATGGGAATACTCTTGTAAATAATTAAATTTACTAATTTGATTTTGTAGATTACAGGATCCCAAGCAGTTAATATCCTGCAACTTTTAGATGTATCTCTTCAACGAAACACCTTAAAGCTGTTGTCCAATTTTTTTCTTAAACTAGGAGAGAGGAAATTTCAAAATGTAACCATTGTATCTCTTAGCTCCTGCTAACCTTCCTCCCTGAAGGAGCTGGAGGCCATGGCTCCTATACAAACATTACAACATTTGTTTTGTGCTTGAAGGGAAGTTTTTAAAAAAAGTACATTTGAGATCAAACTGAAAGCTAAGGTAACCAGTTAGCCTACATTAAAGAAACCTCCTCAAGAGGTATCTTGAAGTTTCAACTATAAACTGACATTACATGCATAATTAGCCAATGGTGATCTATTATAACCACAGCAGATTAAAACAATAAACTGTCTTATTTTTAAACATGGTTGCATAACTCACTAAAATACAGCAAATAATTTAGTTTTTCTTTTTTGCTCAGAGGACACTTTGCCATCAGCCCTTGGCGATCCTCTAATAATTGCATTTCTAATGTAAATTCCACTAAAAGGTTTCAAAGAGAACCAGAGAGCTGTCTACACTTAAATTTGACAAGTAAATACTGCTGGAGAACCCGGGGCTGATTGAAGCATATTACGGTTAAGCAACACCTCCTTTCAGATCTGTTACCAAGTCTATTGGTGTGTCTATGATTTATCAGTAGAGGTCAACTGGGGGATACAGTAAAAGAATAATAATTAGGAGAGATTACAAATTTTACATCATATAATAAGGTAACATAGTTAAGTGTAAACATTGCTTAAATTATTTAATCAATGAACAGTTGCAGATTCCTCAGAGGCCTGGGAACGAACCATTCATTCAATAAAGCTGTCTTGGAGAAAGGATGCATAAGACAGAAAATGATTTGCTTATCTTTTGTCTTCTATATCTTTTATTGCTCTATGTGGCTCCCCCTGTAGGTGGTTCTGACAACCATCTAATGCAGCTGGACTTAAGTGATAAAGGAACAAAAGGAGAACAAGCTGAGAAGGTCTTGCAAGCCTGTGGTATTTCCTGCAACACAAACACCTTTTTAGGTACAGTAACAACAAAACTTCTTCCTAATTATAAAAAACTATATATACTATTTCAAACATGGGCTGTGGATGGTAAGACTATGAGCAATGTACTGTAATGTAATGTGATATTTTAGAGAGACATCAAAGAAAGTATTGCCTCAGATGTCACCTACATTAACAATCACAAGAAGCAACAATATTATAATGAAAGAGGTTACTGAAACAAGGAAAAAAGTTCTCCAGCAGCTTATGCAGAAACAATAATTTGACTTGAAAGCAGTCTTAGATGCAACCCCAAATAAAAGTGGCTGTAAATAATGGACATGGAACCTATGGTCATTTATGAAGCAATGAATCTGATCTAATATTATAATGTTTACAAAAACGAATTTGGACCCCCTCCTTTCATAAGCAATGTTCTTTTAGCTACAACTACAAACAAGACATACAACTTGTGATAAGTTATTAAGAAAATACATAGGGGAATTGATTTTCTGGGTACTCTGAGGAGGAGATCATTTTTGCAAGAATTGCATAATTAGAAATGATGATATAAATGTAAAACCCTTTATTGTCCCACAATGGGGAAATTCGTTCTCTGCATTTTGACCATCCCCTTGGTGAGCAGTGGCCTTCCATTGTGTGGTGAGTGTGGAGTTATTAGTGGTTAAGAATGTTGTGACTTTATATTCAATGCCCATCCAGGTTGGATGCAATATTAATGCTGTGAATAACTGTTATACTCAATTCCCAGCCAGCTGGGAATTCATGTTATGTTCTGATACTTTAAGATGTTCATTGCCCTCCCAGTAGGGGTGATAAATATCTTATTTAATCGGATATTATTTCGGCTGTTATATATTGTTTATGAATACATGCCCTACTAGCTATGTGTTATAACAATAAATTAAAGAGTGATTTGAGCTGAAATGATGGTTAGACAGATAATTCTGCACATACATGGAATAAATTCATCACAAATTCTTTCAAAATATAAGAGTTTATTAACAAAAATCACTCAGCTCCGAGTCAAACATATTTCAGTTAAAAACTCTTGACTAAAACTAGTGAAACTCAACTAAACTAAACTACTTTGTACAAAGAGGAAGGAGAAACATGGTTGAAAACGCTTCGTGAAATAAAGCTTGTCCAAGCCTTAACAACAGATTAGAACATATTACTGTAGCGTAGCATAGCATGCAGTCCATCCTGTTAGCTTTGTCTTTACTAATCAGTAAACAAATTAAATGATCAAAATCATCAAACGATATATTGTTTGTTCTGTCCCTAATTGTGCCAGACCTGCAAACCTCTGTTCATGTCAATTTGGAGGGCTTGAGTTTTTATCCAGCAGCAGCTTAGCAAGGCAGGCTCACAGCAACATGGGGGTTTTCTTGCCCATGTGGCTCACACCAAGAGATCCTTAGGAAGGTCTTACAGCTGCCCCATGAGCCAAAACTGCATTCTCTTCTCCGGTCAACATGTCAAGATCAAGCATGGACACTAGTTCCCAATGTTCAAAACCAGGATCATGGCACATGGCACAACAAGAGCCTTGCTCAGGAACCCAGAGTGCAGGCTGTGGGAATCAAACCGGGTACTCGCAACCTTCTCAGAGCAAAAGCGCACTGGTCTAACCCACTAGTCCAACACTCCCCCATATATGTTGTAGGTGTTTTTTTTTACTGCTAGCAGTGATGGAGGACAATGAGAAGGAAGAGAGTAAATGAGGTTGTAAGCAAGTAAGCAAGTGAGATTGGTGGCTGGTGGTGAAGGGTGACCTGGTAATGTAAGCATGAACATGGCCCTCAGCATGGAACCAGGTCCTGTAAAAGATGAAAAGGTGAGAGCAATGTCATAATTTAAAGAAAGCAAGAAAACAAGATAAGGTAGGCCTGGTTACTATGCCTGTGATCAGAACAATCTGGTATCTGCCTCAGGGATTCTTCTCCTGTTTATGTTTGTGAATAGTGCTGATGAGCTGTGGGAACCCTGCAAAACAGAGGTGAGAAGAGGCACATACACCCACACTGACGTTCACAAAGAGGTGGAAAGCACAAGTTTTATTTTTACACCGCAAATAAACTTAAATAATACAGACAGCATTATATTTTTCTTTTTATTCCTAATGCACCTTTTCCTCCTTGTTTGCACCTTCTTTAATTATTATGCCAATATGTGACCAGTGAATTTCTCCGCTGTGAGATCAATAAAGCTCATCTTATCTAATCTAAGCATGTTTACGACACAATACAAAATAAAAAGACATTGAGCTGCAATTTCACAGCTTTAAAAGACACAAACAGTGCCAAATGGACCCCTTACAAGCAGACAAGGACTAAACTGTCAAAGAAGATTAAACATGCAAAGAGACAGTACGCTGCCAGAATAAAAAAAAATCTTGTCAGCTAACAACAGTACAACATTATTCACAGCTATAGCATGCCTTCACCTGTCCAAATCTGACAAAAAGCAGGGGCCTTTTCTATTTTTCTTTTTTCCCCCAGTCTACTTCTGTTCTACCTGTAGACCCCGCCAATAACCCTACATCCCCCCCGGTCTGCCTTCAGTGAAGATAAAAGAGGGGTGTGTTAATAGGGTCCTCCGGTACCTAAAGGGGAAGAATTATGGTTTTTCTTCAGCTCTGCCTGAATACCTGTGCCGCTCAGCTACTGCTTTGCCCCTAAAGTGAGAACAATTCAAGCATGCCCAACTCCTCATTAAAGATGGCTACTGGCCACATCAACCATAGTTAAAACTTCCCTATTCTGACTGTTTTTATCAGTTGCTTTTATCTATGAAACATTTAGTAATTTGTACACACATCACATAAAGCACGAACAAAGCTGCTGCACATATATCATATAGGATCTCTTTCAATGACATCCTAAGACTTCAAAGAAGCCTTGTCATAGATCTGCCCTCTGCCCTGCAGCTGTTAGAATTAATAATTGCCGCTGCTTCTAATTACTCAACAAGTGTGTACAAGTCTTTTTTGCACAGTAATTCCACTTGTTGCAATACAGCTGTTGTTTTCTCATGCTTCTCTGTCTCTTATT